CGGTGGTGACACGAGTTAACTCCACAAACTGGCGACGAAACAAATTAGCTGAAGGGAGATCTTTTTTAAGAGTAACTAATGATTAAGCATGAACAACATTTGTGTTTTTTGAAAGTTGAAGTCACGATTAGTTTTCGAGGAATGAAGCAAGCTGTGAATCTGCTCATGAAGCTTTGCCCCAAAGACCCTCATCCTCCCCACTTTAACAGGAGACTGTGAAGCGGTTAACCCTTACAGCTAAGTTGTGAATACGGCGAGGTGAGAGAGAGAGAGAAAAGGGGTTGGCACTTAGCTTTTTTTGAGAGTGGTTTTTAAAAAAATGTTAAAAAAAAAAGAAGCTGAGATTTGGTGATTAGAGAGTGAATGCAGATGACACAGGGGAGTTGAGGGCACAGGCTATGCATGGGCTCCCTGTTAGGTAGGGACACAGATGGCCTGCTTGAGAGGCCACTTGGCCCACATTCCCTTTAGTGGAGAACTCCCACTGGCCCTGTCCTGCTGGAGGGAAAAATTTTGCTGAACCTCTGTATCAGAGGATAGAGCACTGCCTAACCGCAGGGCGCCAGGGCTTTGGGAGATCGTGGCACACATCCTGAGCACTAGGGTTAGACTCTTACTCACAGTGCCACTGTGTGGTACCTACAGTAGCTAGCCCTAACATGGACAGCCACCAAGCTGATAGGACAATGACTGGATGGATGAGGATACATCAGAAATACTAAAGAGGGTAGCACAGGGTTAACAGGTCCCTTTGTTCGACCCACGAGGGCTTAAACGAGGCCTTAACATGGACAGATGAGAGAAAGGAGCTCGAGTGATTGGAGGGGGGAGTCTAGCGTCAGTATGCAATATTGTATGTGACTTCAGCAGCTGTATGTGAGTGTGTGTCCCCAAAGGAGGGTGCTGCAAGACAATACCAAGTACTGTAGTAGTGATTTAAGGAGCTCTCAGCCTTTTAGGATTCGAGATCGACCTCTCCGACCACCGCCTTTTTTCTTTTTTGAAGTCTTAATTCTGATCCATGTTCGCTCTGTCTCTCTTTCTCTCTCTCTTACCCACCCACCCCATCCCACCCCAGCCCCCATCACCCCCCCCTCCCCCCCCCCCCCCCCCCCCCCCCCCCCCCCCCCCCCCCCCCCCCCCCCTCCTGCTGTTACCTATTTAACAGTATTCACAAAAATGAACAAACTCATCCAGGAGGAACCAACACAGAGTCATACCGTGGGTTTTAACATGATGTTGCGCGAGAAAAAAAAAGAAAACTAAATTGAGGCGCTTAAAAGGAAGTGAACTGTCCTCTGCAGGTCTGGAAAAATGAACCTTAAATAAAACTGAAAACTCAGAGCTGGTGTTTGTCTGCTGTTGTGTTCTCGGTACCCTGATTCAAACATGTGCACTTATAAATATTTAAGCTTTAAAGTACTCACCATCACACTGTGTAGATCTCCTTAGGAAGGTCACTCTAAATCACTCATGCCTGTTGTTCCAATGTCGTCCACTAGGGGGCAGGTCACTTTCTGTCAGTGATGAAGCTCTGCAGTCAAACTTCAGTCTAGCACACACACAAGGTTACACAGCAAGACTCATACTACTGTTATTTAAAATACACCATCTTTATTCTCCACAGGTAATTTAAACATTTCTAAGTGACTTTTAGGGAAAGTAAAAGATCAAAGTATGATGCAGTGGTATTAATCACATTCTTCAGTGCTATATATATATATATCTATATGTCTTCAGTGGGAGCAGAGCATGCGTGCATATCGCAGCCCTTCAGTTTGCAGCTCTGCACTCTCCCTGGCCAATGCAGCAGTAGATACCTGCAGCAGAGACTGCTTCTTTTTTGTCCTGTGTGTCTCCTGACAGACACAGGGAGGAGCACAGTCGATACTCAGCGGCTTCACCATCTGTATCGCTAGATACCTGAATCAGATAACCAACTATACACCTGATCTGAAATCTAATTAGTCTGGTTGTTGCAGTGCCCAGGAAGCCCATTCAAAGTAAATCCTGGTCAGATCTTCATTACTGATTAATGTTAAGGGTTTTTTCTGATTAATTATTTTGTCAAACTTGACAATGTGCTCCACCAAATACAGTTCCCATGATTTTGGGGACTTGGGGATGTAAACAGTAAGTGCAATGTTGCCATGGAGTCAGTTAATTAGCTGCAGACTGTATTTATTTACATTCTGAAAAATTGGCACCATTAAAAGTACACAGTGCCCCCATCCTATTTAGCATCTATAAGCAGTATAAATACAAATGTAGTTGAAGGTAGTAGCTATATGCAGAGATAAGGGCATGCATTTCTATTGTTTGTTAATATACAATGTTTGCCAACAATCTTAACTTCTCCAATGAAGACTCATTTTATATTATTGCTACTGTGTCACAACAAGATAATATCTGTTCACACATCAGCCTCCACCCATGGGTGTTGACAGAAGGCGTTACAGCTTTTGAGAAATACATTTATAAACATATCTGCTGAACTGTAAACCATTTATTAACAGTTACACCAGTTCTAAATGCTAAATAAGAGGGCCTAAGGTCGAGTTAACCAGCAATCAAAATATGAAACAGAGATAAGACGCACATCCTCACATTGGAGAAACTGAACCTGATATTTAGGGCAATTTCTAAAACTATTTTTGCTTATTAAGGGACTGAAACAATTATTCAGTTATCAAAAAAGATGAAAAAATAGTTCATTATTTCATCTGTCAATCGACTTAATTAGTTAATTGGGGTATTTTACCGCTGGAAAATTTGTCTTTTCATAAAACTGGGCTTTCTATGTAGAAGAAAAACGCACATACTTTTAAAACTGGTGCAACATGTCCAGAGAAACAGAGGAAAACAGCTGTGGCATTTGCTTTTGCTCAACTACCAGAATGCTCTGCTGGACCAATAAACACTCCCTCTGGTGGGTGACATAGTACACGAAACAAATATTTAAAAGTTGCCACTAAAAAAATAGAAGTAAATATGACAGTAAAGTGTAGTAAGGCTGAAGTTAAAAGTATTATTAAATCTGAAATGATCAAGAAATGGGAGGAAGAATGAAACAGGGAAACTAAGGTAGGCATTACTACAGTATCTAAAAGAAAGAAGAAGAAATGAGAAAAACTAGCAGAACAAAAGAAGAAGATATAATTTTGAGGAGACAATATTTATGGAAAAGACAGGGATAAGCAGAAGAATATAATGTAGGCATAAGGCTGTTATGATCCACACTCTATGTCACAAGGTGGAGGTAGTGTGCCTAAAAGCTGTTTGCCAACCGCCATTAAACATCCTTAGAAGAAGAAGAGCCTGATACATACATGGGGTTTTAGGATTTCAGTGCCCAAAACAAAGTATTTGATTTTTGGTTTTAAAAGAAAGTTACCAAATTTAGGGCTGAACTTATATGGGCTACAACTGGAAAAGGTGAAGGTTTTTAAATTTTTGGGTGTTTGGTTTGAGGAGCGCATGTCATGGGCTGTGCACATAGGTAAAACAGTGGAGAAATGTGAAAAAATCATTAACATCTTAAGAAGCCTGACTGGGTGTGAGTGGGGAGCAGTCAGGGAAACATTGCAACTAATTTACCAGGCCATGATTAGATCGGCTCTTGATTATGGGTGCTATGTGTACGGTGCTGTCTCAAAAACTGTGCTGGCTAGGTTGGATGTCATACAGGCAAAGGCCCTGAGACTCTGCTGTGGAGCTTTTAGAACCTCCCCAATCCCTGCACTAGTTGTTGAAATGGGAGAAATGCCCCTATGGTTAAGGCTCATTAAGTTAGGATTACAGTACTGGATAAAAATTAGTAGGAGTGCCCAATCCTTCCCAGCTAGGTGTCTGTTACAAGAGGTGGAAGGAGGTAACAGGCATGAGCCATATATTGCCAGAATAAATCAGTGGGCAAGGAAACTGGGCATGGAACAGGGTGGCATGGAACAAACAAGCTGGTTTTCAATACCACCGTGGGTAATGCAGGAATTAAACATCAAGCTGTGCTTTCTTCAAGACAAGAAAGAGGTGAACAAAATACAAGAATATCTCAATTCAGTTAGGGAGGAGAAGCTGATAATATACACAGATGGTTCTAAGGATCCAGAGAGTGGGAAAGCAGGATTTGGGGTGTACATAGATCAGTTAAAACTCAAGTTTGATCATCGTATCTCAGATGGAAGTTCTATTTTTACTGCAGAATTACTGGCAATTCTCTGGGCTCTGAGTTGGACTGAGGAAGAATGACCAAAATCAGTTTTGATTTGCTCGGATTCAGCAGTAGCTCTAATGGCTATAAGAGGAGGAAAATCAAAAGCTCGGCCGGATCTTGTTAAAAAAATATTGTCTGTATTGTTTCAAGTAGAAAAGAATGGGTGTGAAGTCATGTTTTGTTGGGTTCCTGGACATGCTGGAGTTGAGGGAAATGAAATAGCCGATTCTATAGCAAAGGCAACCCTGCAGAAAAAAGTAGTAGACTTCAGTATATCTCCAGGAAGAGTGGAACTGAGAGGGAAAATCAAAGAGGGTGTGGAAAAAGAAAGACAGGAACTGTGGGAAAAGGAGACTAAAGGAAGGTATTACTTTTCTGTACAGCCTTTGGTTAGGAAAATTAGTTATATTTCTGCAACTCGAAGTGAATCTGTTAGAATCTGCAGACTGAGGCTTGGGCATTGTGGACTAAATCATTATATGCATATTATGGGGAAGCATCCTGATGGATTATGTAAATGTGGGCGGTCAGAAACAATTAAACATGTAATTATGGAATGTCAGATGTATAGAACAGAGAGGAGGGCTTTCTATAAGAAGCTGGCAGATCTGGGTGTGGAGACATTTTCTATTAAAGTTATTTTTGGCCAAGGTGAGAACCATGAGATGATAATGAAAGCAGCCTTACAGTTCCTGCGTGAAGCAGGGCTGTATATGAAGATTTAAATAGACTCTGTCCAGTGGAGGGCAGTGATACGCCAAGTAGCGTCAAAACTGCCGGAAATCGAGAAGAAGAAGAAGAAGAAGACGAAGAAGAAGAAGAAGAAGAAGAAGAAGAAGAAGAAGAAGAAGAAGAAGAGCCTCCTACCAACTGACAGAAAACAATATGGCGGCCGGCCGGAAACAAACGTTTTGGAATTACATTTAAACGGTAAGTTTTAATGTGTTTCTGTAAACATCTTAGAGAGAAATAGGCAGCACAGTGACAGAATATTGGTTTATATTTGATTAGCGCTGCTTAGTTTTACAGTTTAATTGGAGTTTGGCCTGAGTTTTAGAGACAGAGCGGTGCGAGTCTTTCTCTCAATCTGTTTCTGTACTCTTTGTCGATGATGGCGGCCATATGAAATGCGGAAGTACAATCTGTAGTTGGAGCAGCAGCCCCAGAGCCAGATACAATTTGAGCCTAAAGATGAGCAGGGGGATCTGGGCCCTGCTAAAATGGAGGGACGTTTAACACAGTTCATTTAAACACACTAGTACCAACACTGTTCTGATACAAGGCTAGTTGAAAACCAGAGGAGTATCCATGGTTATGCTTTCAGGTCTAGTTCTAGTGTGGTGTAACTGGGCATGTGGGATGGCTAGAGTTGCTCCCTCTGGTCTCAGCCCCTCAAGTTTCAGACCCTCTGGTTTCAGGCCCCTGGTTTTAGCCTCTCTAGTTTCAGCCATATCTAGTGTTGGCCCCTCTGATTCCAGGCCCCCTGGTCTCAGAGGCTTCAGGTTTTAGGCCCTCTCATCTGAGCCCCTCTGGTTTCACCCCCCTCTGGTCTCAGGCCTGTCCAGTCTTAGCCCCTCTGGTTTCAGGCCTCTGGTTTCACCCCCCTCTGGTCTCAGACTCTTCAGGTTTTAAGTCCTCTGGTCTCAAACTCTTTGGGTTTCAGGCCCTCTTGTCTGAGCCCCCTGGTTTTAGCCCCCTCTGGTTTCAGCCCAATCTAGTTTTGCCCCCCTCTGATCTCGGTCCTACTGGTTTTAGCTCCTTCAGGTTTTAGGCCCTCTGGTTTCAGTCCCTCTGGTTTCAGTCCCTCTGGTCTCAGCCCCTCTGGTCTCAGCCCCTCTGATTTCAGGTCCTCTGTTTTCAGCCCCTCTGGTACCGGCCCCATCTAGTTTCAGGCCCTTCTGGTTTCAGGCCCCTCTGGTTTCAGGCCCCTCTGGTTTCAGTCCCTCTGGTTTCAGGCCCCTCCGGTTTCAGCCCTTCTGGTTTCAGCCCCATCTAGTTTTGGCCCCCTCTGGTCTCACCCCCTCTGGTTTCAGGTCCTCTGTTTTCAGCCCTTCAGTTACCGGCCCCATCTAGTTTCAGGCCCTTCTGGTTTCAGGCCCCTCTGGTTTCCGCCCCTCTAGTTTCAGCCCCTCAGGTTTCAGGCCCCTCTAGTTTCAGCCCCTCTGGTTTCAGGCCCCTCTAGTTTCAGGCCCCCTTGGTTTCAGCCGCCCTGGTCTCAGCCCCTCTGGTCTCAGCTCATCGGGTCTCAGCCCCTCTAGTTTCAGCCCCTCTGGTCTCAGCCCCTCTGGTCTCAGCCCCTCTGGTTTCAGGCTCTGGGTGCTGAGGAGGCTCAAGCAGAGGAAGGTGAGTGTGTGTGAATAATGCAGGCAGGCAGCAGATTCAGGAGCTGTGACAATGAGTCAGCAGCAGTAGCACAGATGGGGGGGAAGCTCTGCTGAGAGTGTTCCCGGACCAACACACACTCATGCAGGCTCTGCACTGAAACATAATGGAGGGATCGTGGTGATGATGCATACCTGACAAGAATAGCATCTGTTTATTTTCTACAGCTATGGAACATAAACCCAGTGTTTGGGGCCTTTTTTTACTGCTGTAGTGGAGAAAACACTGGCACAGAATTTGCCTAAAAGCATGCCGGACTTAATTATTAAGTGCTCTGTGACAGACAGTGTTGCCTAAAACGAATGATTAGTTTATTGATTTGCTTGCTTTGCTGAAACTGCATATTCATGCTCATTATCATCAGGGTGAGAGGAGGACTGGGGAGTGAGGATGAATGATGAAGCAAAAGAGGTTAAGGGTAATTCACTGAGACAAATCTCCTTTTAGTCAAACATAAGCAGTGAATTATTCTTTTTTTAATTTTAAAGCACTAAATCGGGATTTTTACTGCATTAGGATTTAAATTCCTTCCTGTAAATGTCTAGATGAGCTATGCTGAGTATTTGCAAATAAATGTCCACAAACAGCATTTAACCATGGCCAGGTGTTTCATCAGGACAAGCAGAAAAAGCCCTGATATTTCACTCTGTCCTCTGCGGGGGTTCAGGCTGTTAAACTGCTGAAATCTCGCTTTCCTTGAGGACTGCAGCTATGAGGGCATGTGGAGAGGGCACAGTAGCTGCAGTGACTGCCATAAAGAGTCAGCTGCTTGTGCTGAGAGGCATGGATAAATCACAGATAATATACAATAATGTGACGTTTTGCCGTTGAACCAGAACTCTCAGGTGTGTGGCTGTATTTAATTCACAGTGGCTCCCTGCCACTACAGATCCACACCGACACTCCTCTGCACACATATTATACTAAATACTGCAGCACAGGTTACCGTGTCTTCTTAGGGGAGTGTGTGAAAATTATTGGTTTGAGGAAGGGGGTGGAAAAAGCAAGCCATCCCCTTTTACATAAAAAACTGCCGATACAGCAGCATCGATATCTCCATCAATTACTTTAATTAATTTGACAAGGCCTGACCTGGTGTGCCTCCAAACCCTGTTTTGTATTTGTTTGTTTTAAAGTCCAGTGTCTAGGATTTAAAGGGGCACACTAGCAGAAATTGAATATGATTAGTATGTTTTCTTTAGTGTATAATTACCTGAAAGTAAGAGTGGTTGTGTTTTGTTACCTTAGAATGAGCTGTTTATATCTGCAAAGGGAGCGGACCTTGTCCATGGAGTTTGCCATGTTGCAGTTGCTTTCCAGTTTAATTTAGCATGTTAGCATGCTAACATTTGTTCATTTAAACTAAACACAAAGAACAGCGGAGAAGGTAAAGGATCATCAAAGTATTACAGTGTATCCTGAGGCTAACATGAATCTAACTGTCATGGCAATCCAGTTGTTGTTGAGACATTTCACTTATAACTGTAATTGTCAGTCTACTGGTGGCGATAGAGGAAAGGTCAGGGGATCACAAAACTCAAAATGATTCATCCTCTGGGGACCATGAATGTCTGAACAATTTTATGCACCCAAAAATTGTTGAGCTATTTAAAAGCACAGTATGTAATTTTTGCTGCCAGGGGTCTCTTAATCAAAACGGTCACAAAAGACAGACTTTAAAGATGTCGTGAAGTAGCATGGGATCATTGGAGTAGTTTTAATTGTTAAACAACCACCGCTGCCGATCACAGATGAGAAAATGTATTAAAGTTTTACTCACATCACATTAAGTCACATTTTGTCATTTCTATTAAAATAGCTGCAGGAAACATTTGCTAGCTAAATGTTAACTTGCTAACTTATCATTAGCATTAGACAAGACCACATTACGTCAGTATTGGCCTCCCTCCTCTGGCTTCCTGTACGTTTCAGGATTAATTTTAAGATTTTAATGCTTGTTTTTAAGGTCTAAAATGGTCTGGCACCACCACGCACCTCTTGTCATTGTAAGCTCGATCGACATTGAAACATCATGTCAAAAAATTATGTCTCTACTGGATTTTTATTGCAAAATGCCATGCAGTTACTGAAAATTATGGTGCTTTATGCGTTTCCCTGGAAGTTGTAGCAAAAGAAGGAGTAAAGATTAGGCTACAAAATACTATTCACAGGCGACTGAATGAAATGCAGTTTAAAAAAAAAAAAAAATTACAGATTTCTCTGTGTTTGAACATTGTTTGAAACATCTGGGAAAACGTAAGTACACCACGCAACAGCATATATAGCCTAACCTTGGCCTATTCGTTTTTAGATATTTTAATGTGGAAATGTTACCATACCTTTAAGTGTGGACCAATATGGTGGATTGACCGACCGACCGACCGACCGACTGACCAGTGTTGCGTCCTTGGAGCCAGACCACTATCATGCCTCAGTGCTTTTAACTGTGCTCTGAGACTTTACAACAAGTAATGTTGAACACTCACTGAACAGGGTCAGTCACCCTGACCTCTGGGGCCCCTGGGCCTGCGCCCGTTCAGTATTTCATCCATGAGGAGCTGTGCAGCTTTTATTCTTCATCTTACCCAAACTGGCAGAAGTTTTTTAGGCATATAAGCAACCCCGTGGTTTCACACCAGACTGTCATGTGTGTCACAATCTGAGCTCACACTCTGAGGTTATGTGGTTTTCATATGACAACATTACGATGGTCGATGATATATATATAATTTCCTGGCCCTGGCCTGGCTGCCTGCATGGGAAACCTGTAGGGACGGCTCTCAGCAGAAAGCACTCTCTCCATTTGTCAGCCTCTGACAGGCTCTCCCACCAGGGGAGCTGCATGCACTGCAAGAAATTACCATTTTGACAAGTTATGTTGTCTCATATTCACATATTAAGAAAACAGATGAAACAATTGATCACTCAGCTGATTAACTGGTCAACGGAAAATTTATCTGCATCTCTTTCTGCCATTTTTCGAGTCATTTTAAAAGCAAAAGCTGAGATTATTCTCTGGTTTCAGCTTCTACAGAGAGAGAATGTGTTTCCTTTGACACTCTTGAGCTCTTTTTCACTTTTTTTATGTTTTATAAACCCAAATATGAATTGATTAATAGTCAGTAGCTTGATAAATAATTAGAATATGTAAGTAAGATCATTAAAACATCGACAACACTAACTGGAAAATGCTAATAAGACTAAATAATTCAACTTCTCTCAAGCTTTACATTTACTTTTTTGAAGATAGAGAAACAATAAAGAAAAGGGAAGATTCATAAGTTAATTGACACTCAAACTGTATTAAATTATTTCACCTATTTGTCTTTTTTTTTTTTTTTTTTGCTTTCCAAACAATACAGTACATATTTAGAAAGACTCACTCCAAGATTAAATGACTGAATAAGGTGGATATTTCTTGCAGTGTGCACACGAGCCTTTACAGTAAACTCCACCAGCAGTCCAGTTAATGTGTCCTGGCCAGGAAAACTGACATGCTCCTTCATCATCGTACAGTATGTAATGGCCCTGATGTATGGAATCTGTATGAAGTGCAACATGGACAGCGGGTTATGTCCAACAATATTTCTGTGTCCTGACCTATAAAAGTCACATCCAGTGCATGTTTTATTTTCATCTTTGTTTCTGTAGAAGACATAACAGCTATTTATAGGTCATCAATATTTAACCTGAACATGAAAAATGCCTCACTGAGACATATCAGTTTTAGGATCTGTTTTCTAAGGCTCTGTGATGTAGAAAAGGATTTTAGGTGTGATAACAAATCGATAGAGCTCAGTAATGTGCTGCAGGAGATAAATGACTTTGAAGCTGTAGGTGAGATGTCCAGTTAAATAAAGGAGGGTAGGTAAGGTAGTGGAGGGATCTGGGCCCAGTGACTTTTAAGTGTAGTTTGACATTTTGGGAAGTTAGAGTAGAAGATCTCTACCAGTCTGTACTTTATAAGTATAAAGCTGGTGTCTGCAGCCAGTTAGCTTAGCTTAGCTTAAAGACTGGAAACATTAGGAAACAGCTAGCCCGGCTTAGATAACACAATCAGCCGAATAGCACCTCCACAGCTCACTAATGAACACATTGTTTATTGTTTCTTTAATCCACGCAAAGACTGTGTAAAGTGTGAAAATGTTTATGCGATTGTTAATTAGTGTTATTTAGATTGTAGACCGAGCAGTCTAGCTGTTATCCCGTTTCCAGTCTTTGTGCTAAGCTAGACTAACCAGCCGCTAGCTTTAGCTTCATATTTCACATACACACATACAATATGTTAACTCTATGAAAGTCAAGAACTGCCATAGTTGCATTCTTTAATGCTGTTATCTTGAGATCACAGGTTAATCATTTCATTATCCCCAAAAAACAAGCTTTTTTTTGGTACCTTAATACTTACAAAAGCCCTTTCTACACAGAGATCCCATGACAGGGTTGCAATGAAGACCTTTCATGATGCTGACTTTGCATATTTTATACACAATCAAACAACACTCACAATGGTGACCCTGTGTGTGATTTTTAGATAGCATGCCAGCATTTCGAAAGCTAAAGAGGCATGACGAGCATGACATGTAACACAGCAACTTTGGCCTCGTGGATGACCTATAACATACGCTTCAGGCAGCGCTTTCCTAACAATAACAATGGCATGACATGGTAATCAAGAAAGGATGGCAGAGGAGAAACCTGCACACCAATGTAACTGATCCACTTTGAGCACCTTTTTTTGTGCACAGATGTCTTGTGGACCTTTTTGTGGCTCTCTAGCCTGGTTACAGCGGTGTGCGGGAATCTCCTCTGCCATCCTTTCTTGTTTGTCTATTGTTTATTGTTTATTATATGGTCTATTTGCCCCAAGTAGCTGTAGTTTTACAGCAGCTCTAAGACTTTGATAACACGGCAATAACAATCATTTACTGTCCCTGTTATATGGCAGTTGATCTCATCCTCTGCTTGGAGGGTGAGGAGCTCCCAGACCTCAAGTTTGCGAACATTTTCAGCTGCTGTTCTTCTTTAGATTAGCTGCTAACTGCTGCAAGCTCTTTTTTAAACCTCCTGATGGTGATGATGTGTTATCGCACACATAACACATCATCAAAACATCACACCCGTCCCATTCTGCTTGCTGTCCCTTTTACACAGCCAATTCTTTTACTTCTTAAAGTTGAGACAACTTCACCTTATCCACGATCGTACTGTTTTTACAAAATAGCGAGGCATAATAATGGCTGAACATTCCCACCTTGAAAAGGCAGTTTAACAGGGGCTAGTGTTTATCAGAGATCAGGAATGTCACCAGTATGCATGGATGGCGTCTTGACAACTGTAGGAGCTGATTTAAACTGAAAATACCAGATCAAGGAGTACCCATTAGTGATCAACGAATCAGACTGTACTTTATTTAAGGTCTAATGCAGGGTGAAATTGAATTGTGTCTTTCTGTCAGAAGTAACACTCAGACCAGTACTTGTCATTTAAGGAGAAGACTGCACTTTCTGAGTTCTCACAGATGGTCATGACAGTGATCTTCGAGGCTGAAATCAAGTGTGAACAAAAACAGACACTCATTTTCAAGTTGTCCATAATTATTCCATAATCTTGACAAAACAAAAGTAGTTTTCTTGTAATGAATTATCTTGTTATCGCAACAAATCAGCCTTTTGTTTTCTTGGGAATCATAAATTAACTCATTATCACGACAAAAAAAAAGCTTTGTTATCTTGAAATAACGAAATAATAACTTGTGAACTTAAGATAATGGCATTTAAAAATAAATAAATATTAAGCGTGACAGTTCACAGCTGCTGTGTAACTCAAATAACTCTTGGCAAGAAAACAAATCTACCAAAATGTTGAACTATTCCTTTAAAAGATCACTTCCCTCCCCACCGGCGATCCTGAAGGTCTAAACTAATAAACGCTCTTTCCGGCATTGCAGTGACCTTTGTTGGAGGTTCAGACCCTAGTCAGCATGTGTATCCCAGCACGGCCCTCGTGCCTCATGGTGATATCCTTTTGTGGTTTTGTATTTGCCAACCTCCTTGAGCGCTGTGCCGTGATGTAATTGAAGCGGGAAGGTCACAAAGCTGTTTTTCGTTGATGTAAAGTTTTGTATTTTTCTCCCCCAGACAAGCACGCTGACACTGCACACTGGGCAGGAGGAGCATGTAAAGTGAGATCCACATCGCCTGATACCACAAGGACACATCCAGACTGGGAGCATCAATAACAGATTCTACCTCAGCTGGAGAGATGGTACTTGAATCTTAAACTAACCAAACAAATCTACTATTAAGCTGGGCATATACTGAACGATGTGAGCCTATTTTAGAAATGTTGTTGTTTGATTCCAACTCCCACTGTACGAGTAATTCTTCAGCAATGTAAGGGCAAAGCTTACATTCTATGTGCTCACACTGTGCGCTCCGATCATCAAGCCACGACCTGAGTTCTTACAATAGACATGTAAAGTACACAATAAAATAGTCCGTTGACCCCTGCTGACTGTACTGGCTATGACAATTGTCAATGAAGAATCGTTTGAAAGCTCCAGGGCTGCAGGCAGGAGGAAGTTAGTTTGCTAGCGGAGGTACACTTGCACCATTAAAATTGCTGGGAGTCTTTAATACAATGTGCGGATCTCCTGTTTGATTCAACCACTAGCTGCTAAACATCAGCAAGTTAGTTAACATTGTCATCGTGAACGTGTTAGCATGCTGATGTTAGCATTTAGCATGAAGTCTGAGAATGGAGTTTTGAAGCAGTGAAGATGATCTTGTGGTCCTCTCACCTCTCCAAAGTTGAAAAATGAATCCAGAGCAAGAAGAGTTTTATCTGCTGATAAAGGAGCTGTAGAATTATCCTAATTGTGATTAAGTGACTTTTGTGACGTCAGTGGTCCAGTTGGTACACTGCTAGTAATATGGGAATCTCACATGTACAAAAGAAGAACACCAACTTTCATGATCCAGGTGATCCTGAACAGCAGCTGGCAGAATGTCAAGTATAGACACACACGCAAGCGTAGAGACTGATGTAGGAAAAAAAAGCAGAAAATCGAACCAGTTCTGAAAACTTTAATGACAGATTAAAATTTCAGAGTTAGGGTGTAAGTGTGATTGACAGCGTGAGGTTGTATCTCTTTTTAAACGTGCAACAATTTCAGACGAAAAATACATACATAGGCCCCTATGAGTGCTACTAGGCACTGCAGCCATTTTTTCCTAGTGGCCACTCGCGGTATTGCAGCAAAAAACCTCTTGCAGCCCAAAAAGCATTGTCCCATAGACCACCATTATAAAAGAGACATCTGTAAAACTGTTGACAGGACACCTCTGACTGCAAACATGTCAAATATGCCTCTTTGTATTCTGAATTTTTGATCCATGGTGGTTTTATATTTGTAAAACTTTCCTTGAGCCGATAAAAGCTATTTTAAAAATCTGTGACACCATCACAATGTAAAGTCTATGAGCTGAGTGGGAACTCATGGGTGGGGCCAGCGCGAGAACCACTATTGCACATATTCAGTGGGCTGCGTACCACGGAAGTAAACTTGGAACTTGCTGTTGGAGTGAATAGTCGCCATCTTGGCATCCAGTATCTAGGTGTTATTATAAATCTATGCTTGGTGTACAAAGGCATATATCGGTGAAAGCATTCTGGGGTGCAGCCAAAACAACAACAAAAACAAGCATTGTATTTTTTGTTGCTTTAGTAAAATATAGCCTGATGAATTATGGAAAAAACCCCTCTCCTGAAAATAGTATGAATCTGTTTTTTTTTTTTTTTGTGCACAGTTGTGCAAAAAAGCTCTGGACCTTGTCAGGTGTCCAGTCTTTTCTGTGAGTTGGCCTGAGCACTGCTGTGTCGAAGTCCAGCCTCACAGAGATTAATCTCTATAAACAGAGCAATAGCCGATGGGTTGTTAGATTGCACAGAGCTGGACTGTAGAGTCTTGTTCCAGCGCTGTTTCTTTTCATGGATGAGTGGATGAATAGATGGACTCATCAGTTTATAGACTGATTGTTTTATGAGCACATGGAGGGACGGTGGATAATCAGACGTATCGATGCTTGTTTATAGTTAATGCACTCCGTCATGCATTATTCCTAGAACACGGTGTGATGGCAGACACTCCACCACAGGATGTGTGAGTGTGTCTACGTCAATGGAAATTGGATGAACGGATCAAAAGATGAGTGGATAATTCATGATGAACTGATTTCTTCTGATCGTCCCGCCACCACCTTCACTTCATCTCCTCCGTATTGCTACACTACAGTGATGCAGGGCTGTCAGTGGCCCGAGGTAAAGAGGTACATTTAACTGGCCTGAGTTTCACAGAGACCATTTGTGGACTTCCACAAGGACGAGGAAATTATGGACATGCCCTTAATTATTAAACAAGTGTGTCAGCAGCCTGGCCTGATGGAGGTAATGCAAAGAGGAAGTGGGCCAGAGAGAGGGCCTCAGGGATCGAGGGGGATAAGAGAGAGGCTGGTGGGCTTGGACCTGGGGGTGGGGTGGTGTTAGGCCCAAGGGCTTTGACTCAAGCATGGGAGATCCGATAATGCTGTCAAAGCTATTTTGCACATTGTTAACATTCAGGACCTGCTGTAGCCTGTGCGAGGCTGCGAGAGGTGGACGACTGTGCATTTGGTTTTACACAGCGATAAAGGCGACACCAGAGGACACTTGTGATTTGATATAGAGTAATCATACGATACTGTGCATGCACAGCTGATTGGGCCACAATGAAAAGGCCCTTGAGAAACTTTTTGGATGACGTCAACAGGAATGGCATGGCATTTTTTGTACAAGGGATATGGGATGAGTGTCTGTCTTCAAAGAAATCGATCGGGGAATATCAAGTGAGCCAGAGGCCTGACTCAGGCAAATCGGCCATCCTTTGTGTATATATGTGTGTGTGTGTGTGTGTGTGTGTGTGTGTGAGAGAGTGTGTGAGAAACAGAATGAAAGACAGAGGAAGAGAGACATAAGCTCACACAGCCACAGTGCATTTGCACGCAGGCATGGCTGTAAACACTCAGTCCTTGATAAGCACACAGCTGACAGACAACTTGTGTTCAGGCAGCTGTAAGATAGAGAGAAGAGGGTGAAGGTGGAGGAAGAGGAGGAGGGGTCGGTAAACTCAATGGAGGCCTACTGCACCGCTGACCGACAGCACCTCAATTAGTTCAACACGCTGATCAGGGATTACCGAGACAGTGGCTTAAACCACAGTTTCAATTACATGCTTCTCATTTGTATGTGGAGGCTGACACCTGGGTGCACGTGTTGACCTGGAACATCCAATAAACATCCACCAGGAAGTGTGTGACATCAGCTGTCTAAAGAATGAGTCTGGTGATAATCTGTATCATTTCTTGATGTCAACAAATCCATAAAAAGAATAATAAAAAACAACAATGAAGTGTTTACTGTGATCTCACATGTTGATTTATCACTATAAACACAGGAGCTGTAGTTAAATTTGAGTCAGTCCTGCGTACACCACCACTCTGCTGCTGTCAGTACTCACTAGACCACACCATGCACCCAATCCTTAGCTGAAAATAGTCCAACTTTATCTTTGTGACTCATTTAAAGATTTACGTCTTCATTAGGTTTTTGGTCTTTTCGTGGAATTTGTTTACAATAAGAAAAACATAAAATACCACCAACATTGACCTTTAAACCTCACTGACAAACTGCTCTGCAGCCAAACGTTGAAAAGTGTCAGCGATAGTAAGTGAATCATTTGTATTTGCAACATGTAGAACAAAACTGAAAGTCAAAGCTGCATTGATACATTTCGTTTTGTTTTGTTTGCTGTTTTTGTTGTTGTTGTTGTTTTTTTGGCCACTTGGGGGCAGCGGAGAAAGCTGTAAACATAATATTGACATATTACTTATGACATCCAGCAGTTATTGAGCAGCATTAGCAGTCAGTTGTAGCTGTATTTTTGTATACCTGACGAATGTAAGTCCAATATTCACTCTACATTTAACTCTGCTTTGGTCTCCACCAACTTCAGATGGAAATATGTGAGTATTTAACTGTCAGAGGTCCACTATGTCCTCCAGCTAGATCCTAACTGTTTCTGCTGTTTTGTGCTGGATGAGTAGCGTACAGTGGATTTATGTTAGAGATGTTTTGTTGTTGTTGTTGTTGTTGTTGTTGTTGTTGTTTACTAAAAGTAGCTACTGCTTGGGATGGGGTTGGTAAGAGTGATGAGACTGAACCAAAACCATTAAGTTTAAACAAAACAACGAGCTGAAAGATGCTAAATTGATTCTTAGAGCGGAGTCAGGTTATAATTCTTTTTGGGTTCAGCTTTTACGTCAGGGGTGGTCATTTATTCCTTTGCTAATATCAAAACACTGCAGAGCCTGGGAAGAGACATGGAGTATAAAAAAAATCTATGGTTGAAAAAAAAAGTACTTTTGTGAGATCTCACAAAAAAATTTCTTAAAGGTCAGTGTGCTTCTGGGTCAGTTCAGCACTGTGGACACAACCACAACAATAGAGTACACACACCTGTGCAAGACGTTCATAGAATTTCATTTTGAGATTAGCCTCAAATATAAAGACATTAAATGGCAGTGGGCACAGTAAGAAACATCTTAAGGGGACACTGTCTTCACAAAGCGTACTCTGACCAGGTGGTACTGGTCGAATTCATCAACAACCAACTGCAGTACTCTGGACAGCTTCACAGGAACCAGTGGATGTACGCTAATGTAGAAAACATGGACTACTTGTGAGTAAAGAGGACGTGTGCTTGGTGTTGATGGAACCGTGCTCCATACCCACAGTTACGTAGGTTAGTTTTGGGCAAGTAAAGTTACGTACGTTAGGTTTAGGAAAAAAATCATGGTTGGGTGTCATCATGTTCCGTACTAAATGTAAAGATACATAGGTAAGGTTAAGGCAAGTGAAGTTACTCATTTTAGGTTTAGGACAGTAAAGTTACATAGGTTAGGTTTAGAAACTAATCATGTTACATACTTAATGCAGTGAAACGTACTTAATGTAATGTGACGATGTTACAACATACCTTAAAATAACTCCTGGTTTCACACGGGACACCAACACCAGACTCCTGGGGGAAAGTCATGTGTTTATTTAATACATCCACCACCCCAACCTGTGTTCTTCCGCAGACTGTTTCCCTCTTTACTCCCATCGGTGCATTTGTCACGTGCAGCCTTCATGATAACATGGTTTACAAATGAATTCTGGTGCGTTAC